AATGACATAACCCCTAAAGTTATGTAAAATCATCGAGCTTGACATTTGAAAAGTTATGACACATTATACACATTTATTATGTGTCATCTGTTTGAAAATTTGAAATTGACGACCAATAGTGCCGTTTATCACCTGTGACGTGGTGACCAACCTGCGCAATATCATACCTTGTTTTCTCTGTATCATAATAATTACTTACAAGGTATGAGTTTTAAATCTTTTTATATTATTTGGAACGTTTGAAATTGTTTAAAAAATTATTTGTGAAAAAAATAGCATGCTCTATTCGGAGTAAAAATGACTTTTTGTGCTTCGGCTGTATGTCAAACGTAGAGTCTCGCCATGCATGCACGAAAAATGTCATTTTTACTCCTAATAAAATAATATACTAGAAAGTTTTATGGTTTAACGGGCTTTGTGAGTTAAAACATAATGATATTTTCAGTTTCTATAATTCTTGATCGAAAATAAACGGCGTCAGCGATGGCTATGAAATGAAGATCGCTATCATTTTATATGTAAATTTATATGGGAAATGACGATCGACGACATTTTTTTATCATATGGTACAAAGTTAAAGCAAACTTGACTGATCATGTTTTACGCTAAGAAAGATTTATTTCGTGTAATAAAGATTTAAATGGTATATTAAGTATCTACATAATATTTATTTAAATGTCAAATAATATTATTGAAGCAAGTGCCAAGTTTTATTTTTAATTAAGAAAAAATTTAATCAAGAATGTATAAAAGTTTTGTTTTCAAAAAAAAATTATCGTAAATTGGTAAAACCTCAATTTAGAATAAAATGTTCTAAGAATGAAATAAAATTTTATAGCCCTGTGTCAAATCGAAATAAAGTAAGTGTATGTAACTTTTTTTAAATATTAATAATTGCCAGTAATTAGCAAATGTACCAACATATTGAAATAATAATTTCTATGTTAATACGGTTTAGAATTCTTAAAATAACCGCAAAAGATAATCGAAAATCAACAATGAAATAATAGTTTTGTTTAAATTTCTTAATCAGCTGAGCCCTATTATAGTTCGCAAAAATCCGAGCTATATTATTACATTACTCTGAGGGAAATACCGCAAATAATCGATATTTTTGACTCCGCCCCTAATCACATGACTGAAATTCACGATTTGTTCACCAGAGGCAGCACATTTTGTCGAGAGGTTGACCAACTTTAAGAATATATAAACAAGGGTTATAGCCAATTTTTATCTTTCTTGAATAATTTCACTTAGATGGCATGGTATTCTTATTCTGTTATGATTTATAACTTATAAAAAGTCAGAATATATTACTAAACGGTTCTTTACAATTTACATTATAAGTTATTTTAGAAAATGTTCAAAAAATCCGCCATTGTTTTGAGTTGCATCTTTTTAAAACTGAATTACTACCTATTCTCACAGAAGGACCGGTCGACTTAATTAAACTTTTCTCGTACCGCTACTTCGAGTGCCTCTCTTAATTCATAAGTTCTTTTGTAAACCTTATTGTTAACTATACCGCATAAAAAATTCTACAATGGATAGGTCAGGTGATCGGGGAGGCCCATGCAATTAGTCCACCTCTTCCTAACCCTGCGTTTGTATAATTATAATGTAAATAATTTTTAACATTTCTTTCATTATGGGGGGTGGGGGGTGCTGTGTCATAATGAAAGGTCATGTTGAAACCACTTTATTGATGCGCGAGTATCTACACGCTTTTCTTCATTTGAAAAATTCATATTTACAATTTTTGTTTATTTTAATTTACAAAGTTTGGATGTGACAGCTTCACATTTCTGAGAGCAACGGCGATTGAACTTGTTTCCATGGCTAACTAAGTGAAATTGTTTAAAAATTATAAGAATTGGCTATAACTCAGTAATATTTCGAAGAAAACATATTATAGCTTACATCACTAAAAAGCTTAAAAAATGGCGCTTTTTATGAAGTCATGGCCAACTATGGTTTCCCTTTAAAAAAACTATGTTTGTGTCATATGTCAAAAATGACAGGCTTTAGAAAAAAACGGACAACACAGTCTCATTAAGGATGTGATTATCTACAACTTTTGTGTGAAAACTTTTTGCCTAAAATAGCTTATAATGGAATTACGGACAGTTTTTAATTAAAATTATCTACAACTTTTGTGTGAAAACTTTTTGTCTAAAATAGCTTATAATGGAATTACGGACAGTTTTTAAAATAGCCGAAATTTGTTTTTTTCGAAATATCTAGTAAGCCGTGAATTTTTTCAAAAATCTGAAAGGCGCATATTTATGACCCCACAAAACTGCAATTCTTTCCCCATTTAACCGACTCTCTATCTCCAGTAGTTTCCGAGATACCCATAGAGAACATCGTAGGAAACTCACCCTGTATATCTACAAGTTATCGTAAAATAAATCACTGAACTACTTCCTCGTTTTTCTTGATACAATCCCCCCTAGGCCCACCCCAGGATAAATTGCTAGTTACGCTAATGATGGCTGTGTTAAAAACACTAATTTTTAACTTCACACCTTAGACTATTAGTAAAGTATAATAAATACATATTTAATAAATATTATTTATTAAACTGTTATAGGTAAATTAAATAAAAGTAAACTGGTATAAATTTAAATAAAGTCCAAAAACTAATTTCGATTTTGAAAATAGCTACTATCACTAGAAACTTGCCATGACGATACTAGCCCTCTTGGTTGTGAAATCCATTTTATTGAAAAATTGTTCTTTATTCAAAATCTGAGCTAGATAGGTATAGGAAACCCTAATATAGTTTGAAAGAGCATTTGAATCTGCTTCCATTTGATTAAAAATATTATAACTATTCGATTTATTTAAAAAAATACAGGGTGCTGTATGTTGTACACAGGGTGTGTAGTTTTTATGCGAAATGTATATTTAAAATAGACCAGCAATTTTTGATACCCCTGTATACATTAAACGAAGCAATCAAATTTTTTAGTAAAGTTTATTTCTTTGGCTTAAAAGTTAGCACAAGAATTAATTCTGAGCAGCAATGTACAGGGTGTTGACAATCTTTTTGATTATATCATGCATATTTAAATATCTTTAAATATCAGTATATGTCGTATTTTGTGTCCACGGATCCAACTATGATATAAAGTACTGGTTGTTCCATAAAAAAATATAAATTTGGTGTCTATCTTAGTTCTGACATACCCTGTACATTTCAAAATAATTTTAAATTATGCATATTGTCTTCTAACGTATACTCATAAAATGTTTTCTTTCTACATCCTTCTGTTTTCGTATAATCAACCGAGGCGAATGAGGTGCGCCACCATGTATAAGACATATTAAGAATTAAATGCTGTTCAGCAAAATAATAATTCTGAATTTATTACAAATAATAAAAAAATTTTCACACAATTAAATACTATATACTACTACTGCTCATTTTCTACAAACAAGAATTTCAAAATAAAACTTGCATAATTCCTGATATTCAATTTTCTGACAGGTACCAATTAGGCTAAAATTGATAGTTCCGAAGTAATAATTTAATACAAACTACAGAATAAGGTTAAGGATTTCGGTTCCATTGTTTCGAAGAAAATAGCGACTGAACCAATAAGGTCTATAAATTTTACCTACTCCTTGCGTATTTTAATTTTTTCAAATAAGAACAAAAATTGTGTCTAGGGTAAAAAGTCTCGGAATAACATTTATTCCGAGAATATATAAATTGAAAAAGAATCTATAAAAACTGCAATGGAAAATATATTTTTTTGTTTGAGCAATCAGAAACGGACATTGATTTTATCGTCGTTATGTTTTCATTCCCGATATTCCAGAACTTTATTTATGTTTCATTATAATTATTATAAAATGTTGAAAGTTATTGGAGCTTAAAAAGATACGAGCTGTTTTTTTTTGTAATAGCAAACATATATTTTTATACATCAGTTTGTTATATTACGCGGTATTTTTTTAATATATGGGGATTTGGTTAAAATCAAACTAAAAAAATATTTTATTTATTTATGGATATTAAAAATGGCCCGCAGAAGGGTATAATTTTGTGTAATGAAAGCACATATAAAATATGTATATTTTATTTGGTTTGGTTCGATAAAGATATAAAACATATTGTTGCGGACCCGTGTGGACTCGACCTAACCTAACTATATGTCCCTCCCTCAGATGACCTTAACATCGCATTAAAGAATAGACACCGTAATGATTCATTCGGACGTTCGAGAAAAATCGAAACCTTCCCTATGCACCTAACGATCTATGGACTATTCTAGAAATCTTTAGCTGTGGGTATAAAAGCCGGCGGCTGGGGCCTAAAGAGGGCAGACATAAATAGACGAGTACAGTTGACGCGCTAAAATTCAAAATAAATTCTTTGTAGATAAATAGTTATAAATCGTTTGTAAATAAGTTCTTTAAGTCTTTTATCGTTATTGTTTTTGTTAATTAGTGTTAAATAAATTATGTTTAAATAAATTGTGACTTTCTATCCACACGGAAATATTATATTCCAATTTAGAAAAAAAAATTGTGTGCACTATGTGCGTATATTTGAAGTGAAACTTTATATTAACTCAAATTAAGCTATTGAATTGAGAGATTTGAAGGACATGTTTGAAAAAGGGTAGTTTGAAATATTGAAAAAGCAATAAATTAAAAATAATAAATAATTTGATTCACTTTCACAAAATTTGCATTAATGACCGTCTGCCCATCTGTATGGTATAGTAATTGGCCCGTATGAATAAAAATGAGCAAAACCTTCTACTTGCAAAACTTGAAGCATATGCTATATAGTTTATGAATAAAAATGTAAGTAAAGGTTTTGCTCAAACTTGTATTAGATGAAGCATGAGCATCTATTCACATTTGAGTATTTGCTCAACTTGTTATGAATAAAATGTATGGTTTGCTTACTTAGTTGAGCATATGCTCCAAAATTTTTGCATGTCGTTAGTAGGAGATGCACCTTGCCATAAGCAGATCATAAAATGGCAGAATTCGTGAATTTACGTGCACAGAAGCAATACAAAGTGCAAAGGGAAGTTAATTGGCGAGATTTTAAATCTCTTTACAAATTTCAAGAAGAAAATGTAAATTGGATGGCAACGTACTTTTTGGGAGAAAATCTTGAAAGAAGAGGAGGCGCTCTTTCTTCAAATCATAAAATGAAGGTTTTCTTGATTGAATTGGGAATCACTCAGTCGACTGTTTCAAAAATAATTTTATTTGTAATGAACAAAATAGTTGAAAAGTCCCATTTATGGATCAAATTTCGGTCAACCCAACCCAATATAAACGAAGCACAGCAAGCGTGGCAAGAAAAATTGCAGTTTCCAAGTGCTATTGGAGTGATTGATTGCACGCACTTTCAAATTTTGAAACCGAATCAACACGGTGATGAATACATTAACAGAAAGAGATTGGCGACTTTAAATGTGCAGGCAACATGTAAATCAGTGGAGATGTTTACTAGTACTGATGTTAGTTGGCCGGGTTCTGTACACGACGCAAGAATTTGGAGGAACTGCGATATACGTCTAACTATGCAACATATTCCTGGTGCAGTACTACTGGGTGATGATGGTTATGGCTTAGAACGGTGGCTAATAACTCCGTTTAGAAACCCTAATAACGCATTGGAAAGAGCTTACAACAGACTGCTTAAGAAAGAAAGGGTTATAATTGAAAGGTGTCTTGGCCAACTTAAGCGCAGGTTTAAGTTTTGAAATATACGTCCCGTGTTAAATTAGAAAAAGTTCCATCCGTATTATTTGTTGTATCGTGTGTCTGAATACATTTTAATTACATTTACAATCAAAACATGGTCAAATTAATGCAGACGCAACCCGAGTGTACGTTAATTTTTGTAAGTTTCGACAGAAATGACCAGGCGAAAATGCTCATTTCATTGAAGCAAATGCTCTTGAGTATAAGCCTATCATTATTCATATCAACTCGAGTAGATGCTGATACTCCGACCTGTTACTCTACGCTCTTCCTTGGTGCGTTTGCTCATACTCATGAGCATTTGCTTTCTTTTTAATCATACGGGCCTTATGGGTGCGTCTCAAAAGTGGCTCACCCCTATAACTTTTTAATTTTTTTTTTCAGATAAAAAACGAGATTTGGTAGGTTAGTATATGGCATAAATTAGATTTGATTGACTTACTCAATTCTTTTTGGCCACTTCCTGTTTTACCGGAAACGACTACAACTTTTGATTTTTTTTGATCATATGTCTACTCTTCACATTTTCGCATATCGATTATTTGAAATTGTAACATGTGGTTTATAACGACAATTTGACCCTAAATATCAAGTGTGTGTTAACAAATTATTTGTAAAAAAATGTTAATGAGCCACAAAATTGAGATATAATAATATAATTAAAAATATTCCAACGAACTTACCACCGTGTGATATCAAGCCGAACCATTTCCAGGCGACTTTCTAATGCTGGATTGCGGCATAGACGTCCACTGCGAGTCCTTCTATTAACTTTACACCATAGGCAAAAGAGGCTACAGTGGGCTAGAGAACACCAGAACTGGTTATTACCTCAGTGGAGAAACGTAATTTTTACTGACGAAACCAGGATAGGTTTGATCAGTGATGACTATCGTCAGCGAGTGTGGAGGGAGGCACGGAGGCGGCATTGCTTGAATACGGCCCTTACGAATAAGCTCCTTATCAAGGAGGAACTGAGATCTTCTGGGGTGGCATCAAGTACAATAGGCGAACGGACCTCATTCATATTCCTGAGGTGATGAACGCCCATTTGTATGTGGAAACTGTAATCAGACCAATAATTTATCCACTGCGAGAAGAAATCGGCAATAATTTTATTCTCATGGATGATAATGCTTGTCCTCACAGAGCTAGGATGGCCCAGGAAGCATTAAATGAAGGGAAAATAAATCGTCTGGACTGGCCTCCACTCTTCCCCGACATGAATCCTATTGAACATGTTTGGTACTACATCACCAGAGCTCTATGTCGCAGAAATAACCCACCAAGAAATAGCCAGGAGTTGATCATTGCGGCTCAAGATGAATGGCAGAACTTACCTCAAGAAACAATAAAAACCTTATAGTGGGGATGCTCCGACGACTTGATGCTCTCGTAACAAATCGAGGAGGCAATACTTTATATTAGTAACCTTAATTCTGTCAGATTTATTATTTATTTATTTCTTTTCTCTTTTTTGTCAAACATTTTTCTTTATGGAATTTGCATTTTTTTGTATTTTGTCAAAATATATTATTAAACTTGGTAAAAGTTTTCCCATTTTTGTGTGATTTTTTAACATAACTTTAGCGTCTATTGATTTCCACGAAAAATTAGTTTGAAATGTATTTTTTTATTAAAATAGTAAGGGGGTGCAAGACTTACCGATGAGTGTACTAATATACCAAATATTTTTTTTTATCTGATAAAATTAAAAAGTTATAGGGCTGAGTCCTGTTTGAAAAACACCCGGTATCTATTTATTTTCTTTCCTGTATGGGTATTGTGTGGTATTGCCATTGTGTGTGTGTGTGTTTGTAATACTTTTTTTTAACTGGCTTGCTTTATTTTTTAATAACCTTTGTCATTGTTAAATAATTTACGCTAATCGTCGAAATACCACAAAAATTAGAATTAAATACATAAATATATAATAATTACATTAATCATGAAACTTCAAGGTAATTCTAGCAATTTTCCAAAATATTATGTGAATTTTCAGTGTGAAATACTTAATTTCTGTCCTTGGGCTGTTTTCTTTTTTTTTAATTTGGTGGTCCTAATTTGTTCAGTAGCGTTCCTGAGTTCATGTTATATTGTAGAGCTATACTATGTAATATAAAACTATATGGGGGTAGTTATAGTGTTGGTATAGAGTTTTATTTGACTAATTTTCGAATATGTCATGTACTTATTATATGATATTTATATATATTCTGTAAAGTACTTTTGTTTACTTTCTATATTTTTTAATAGCGCCTTCGAAAACGTTGTAGGATACCTCATATTTTTTTTTATTTCAAGGGAAACATGTTTTTGGAATAATCAAAATTAGCAAATTTGTTTCCATTAATGACTACGTATTGTTGTACGATATAATGGAAACCGTAATATACAGGGTGGCGCCTCTTATACGTCGCGGAGGCTCCAAGGAGAACGGTAGTTTATAACGAAATAAAATTTAGGAAGCATATGTAAGTTAACTGAAAGTATTTTATAAAAATATATAGAGTTATACAGGGTGTGCCGAAAAAAGTTACACATCAAAGTTGTATTTTTTGTAATGGAACACCCTATATATTAATTGGTTTTCGGATTCTAGGAAAAAAATAAAGGTGAGTTTTATTAAAGAAGCATATTACTAAAATGTAAGGATTTTGACATATGTATGTATGTATTTCATATTTTATGAAAAAGAAGGGTAAACTTTAAATTCCAAGAACAGCTACCTAAATTTTAATTTACCCTGTATAGCCTAATATTTAATTACAATAACCATTGTCTATTATACCTCATACCAAATTAAAATTTTACCCGAAAGTTAGTTATTCGGGGTGAGAATTATTATCTATGGCACATTAGTCACTTTTAAACGCAATTTACTCCTTTATTTTAAATGGAACACCCAGTATATTATTCCAGTGTTCAATGGGGAATTCGTATAACCGCATTCTAAACCCGCAAAAAACAGATGAAAGTTGCAAAATAAAACATAAAAGTTTCCAACAATACATATACTGCGTGTGTCTCAAAAGTGACTCACTTCTATAACTTTTTTATTTTTTCAGATAAAAAGACGAGATTTGGTATTATTAACATATTCAATTGTTTTTGGTCACTTCCTGTGTCACCGGAAATAATTACAACTTTTAATTCTTAAATGACACCTTCGGTACTTTTTTACTTTATTCTATAGAAAATGACACTTTGAAAAGAATGACATATCATATGTCAACTTTTGACATTTATGCATATGGTTTATTTTAAATTGTAACATGCGGTTCATATCGACAAAGTAAAAAAATGCTTTTTCCAAATATGCTAATGACCCACCCTTGTTCAATTTGAAAAAATTGAGATATGATTCAAAAAACGATTTGGGCATCTTTTAACCGGCCAGGACAAGACACGAAAAACATTAGATGATCAAATATATTTTTCCAAGGCTTCTTAATTAAAAATTTGTGTTTTTAACACAGCCATATGACACTCTAGATTGGAATTTAAAATACGATTTATTTGTAAGCGAAAATGTCAAAACTTGACATATGATTTGTTGTTCTATTCAGTGTGCCATTTTCTATCGAATAAAGTAAAAATATACCGAGGGTGCCATTTAAAAATCAAAAGTTGCAGTCATTTCCGGTGAAACAAGAAGTGACCAAAAACAATTGAATACGTCAATCAATCCTAATTTATGTAATATAGTAATATACCAAATCTTCTTTTTGTTATCTAAGAAAATAAAAAAGTTGTAGGGGTGAGCCACTTTTGAGGCGCACCCAGTATATGTATTGTTGGAAACTTTTGTGTTTTATTTTGCAACTTTTATATATTTTTTGTGGGTTTAGAAACTAAAGCAAGTTTACATCACGTTATTCGTTATTTCTAGACGAAAAAAAAAATTTGTTATGAAAATAAGTATAAATTAAAAACAAAGCTACATGTTACTTTTTTGTCTATTTAATGTTTCTCGTAACTTGCTTCAAATATAAGTATTTGACATTTTATGAATATGTTTTTTTTATTTCTATACTTATTCTTTCTCATTTCAGGAGGTAGGTACTTCGAAATTTCAAATATTAAAACAAAATTAAGTTGATATTATATTAACTCATATCAATGAATCTACACGTACGTTAACCACGCCAATGGTTTCGGGTCTACAACCCGGGTCGTCGGTCACTCAAGGCTACCAACCGCTGAATAATATTCCGCAGCCGCGAAAAGAGGAGACACGGCTTATGATTACCGAACAATAAACAAAATGTCCGATTCCGATTTGGTTTTCATCGTTTTTCGGGACCCCGTTTTTTCAACTCGATCCCCCTTTGTCTGCCATCGTGCGTCCGATTTGTCATTTCCTTCGTGGCCTTTTTTAATCGGTTTAATGGTATTCTTGTGCGAGCCATCGTCCACTGTATATCCCATTCGGGTACTGGATGGACTGGTGACGGTACTGGTTTTGTCTGTGCTACTGTTGTACGCGTCGGTCAGACTATCGTTTACGTGTGTGGTTTTCTTTTGATCTCGTCATGTTAGTTAATAGGGTGAGTTTTATTGTTATATTAGGAATTTTAGCACCAGAATTATTAATGTTGGGTTAAAATTATTACTCTACCGTTTAAAATAACTTACCTTATGCCTTTACTATTTTAATCGTTACGATAGTATATTATTTTTAACAAAAAAAAAATATTTATTGAAAACAACTTCGTACACGTACCCGTATACTGCTCCCGAGAGCGAAATCTACGACCCTTAAAAATATTTTCAATTAATTTACACTTATCCTGTATTTCGAACAAATATACAGGGTGTCCCGGGCTGAGCGTGCATTAGAAGATTCTAGAGAACTATAATATCTAGATCGGAGATTTCTGTACGTCATTGTTTCACATCGAGACCTATCGATTAAAAATATTTTCAATATGGCGGCACTTCCGGAAACACCGGGAATTCACAACAACTTTCTTATTTTCAATGGATACCCCGTTTTTTATTCTTCTTCTTCAAGTACCCTCTCCAAACGGAGATTGGCAATCATCATGGCTATTCATACTATTTTCCTTAACCATGCTAGCATCATCAGCAAATGATTAATACAGTTTTAATCAACTGCTGATGATGCTAGCATGGTTAAGGAAACACGCGTCCAGTGTAACAGTAAAAGTGTTTTGGTGTATTGTGGTGATTGAGTACTTTATTTTGCTATTGCTGGTATTTTTTTCCATAACATGGGCCGTCCTCTGTCCGAAACACTGCGACCTGTGAGGCCCATTGTGTTTGTCCCTCTTCTATATCTGCACCCATTCTCCTATCCCTGTGCCCTGCACTAGCTTATGCAGGTCCTTGATAGGATGGGAGCATAGTTCCTCCGGTTCTAGCCTAGCTTTCCCAAATAAAAAGTAACGCTTGCGATCCAGAGCCTCGCAATCACATGAGCTCCGCTGTTTCAGGATCTTTATCGCACAGTCTGCAGTAAAGACTTCCTTGATACAGGTTGAGCTTGTTCAGGTAACACTTGACAGCCATGTGTCCTATCAAGAGGCCTGTTGTAGAGGCCTATTGCTGATATGAAATTAAATTCTAATATGCATTTTTACCGTTTCTAATAAGTATTTTTTTAACGAAATGGGCAATTCTAAATATATCAATTTTATTTCTAAATTCATTAATGAATATCAATATAAACTGTCTGTCAGAGTTTGATTTTTAAACAAAGCCTTTTAAGCTGATCTGGTTATTTGTGCCTAACAGGCATGAAATACGGTTTAATATTTTTTTCCGTTTTAATTATTGGTTACAGTGGCAGGCAGACTCGTCTTTATGTGATATAAAACATTTTTTTTTATCTAGTCATATAAAAAGGTTGGTTGTGGATCTCAAAGCTTGTTTAGAGATAGCAGATAATTTTCACTCAAAAATTCCAACCTAATTCACTATGTTTATGAAATCTTGTTTATAAACTTAGTTTTCATATATTCAAATTTCGGACGTTTTTTTTTTCTGTTGTTTTCTGTTGATTTCTATGTTGGCGCTATTCCAGCCTTGCGGTATATGTTTTCTCCTTAGACAGCTTGCCAAAATTATTGCATATATCGTTTAAAAATATACGGAAAGGTGTGGTGGCCACCGATGTCTCCAGATATGAATGTGATCGAGCATCATTGGGACATGCTAAAACGCCATATTGCCAAAAGGAATGATCCCCCCTGTACCTTAAATGAATTGAAAATTGCTGCACGTGAAACATGGGAAGCCATTCCTCAACATCTTCTGAACAACTTAATTGAGAGCATGCCAAGTCGTCTCATAGCTTGCATTGAGGCTCGAGGAAGAAATACAGACTATTAGTTGTGAGAAATAATTAAAATTGTTTTCAATATTTTCTGTTTAAAATGAAATTTGTTTTTGTTGATTTTCAATCATTATTAAATAAAATTATAATAACAGCCTAGTTGCACTTAGATTTTTAATTTTATATTAGTTAGTCGTGTAGTAAGCCAATATGTCCAAAAATATAAAAACAATCATATTAGGTCCAAAATAAAATAAAAATATCGGTATATGCAATAATTTTGACCATGTGTATTGTAACGTTTTTAGTTCGTTACATGTCTTTTTTATATATAATATATGATGTCTGGCCTATCATCACCGGATTCCCTCTCGTTCAGGCCGGATAGTTTATTTGACGCGTAATTTTTACGTTCCCTAGTCGCCAACCCTGTTATCGTTCGACACAATCCTGTTATCGCTCTGAGGAGGCGCTGTCAGGGTTGTGTCGAACGATAACAGGGTTGGCGACTAGGGAACGTAAAAATTACGCGTCAAATAAACTATCCGGCCTGAACAAGAGGGAATCCGGTGATGATAGGCCAGACATCATATATTATATATAAAAAAGACATGTAACGAACTAAAAACGTTACACTGCCCTCCTCCGATGGTTTTTGTTGTTGTTGGTTCCAGTCACTGCGTTGGAGAGAAGGGTAGAGCTAGTGCAAATTTTGTTGAGGTGTTTAGACTCGGTTAGCCTTCTTCAGTCTCTGTTGCTCTAGTCTGCAATTCCTTGTCTGACGTTGTTAGTATGATACATTCCGTTTGAGAGAAGGTTTGAGCTGGAACAGTATATTTGTCTGGTTGTCTTGGTCTTGTAGTACCGACCGTTAACCTTTAACTGCTCTAGTTCAATATAATTCCTTGTCTGGCGTTGTTAGTATTGTTCATTCCGTCTGAGAGAAGGTTTGTATTGGCACAGTAAATTTGTTTGTTTTTTTTTTGGTTTTAGGGTACCGGCCGTCGTATACCTCTAGCTGCTCTAGTAGTATACCTCTAGCTCTAGAGCAGTTAAAGGTTAACGGTCGGTACTACAAGACCAAGACAACCAGACAAATATACCGTTCCAGCTCAAACCTTCTCTCAAACGAAATGTATCATACTAACAACGTCAGACAAGGAATTACAGACTAGAGCAACAGAGGCTGAAGAAGGCTAACCGAGCCTAAACACCTCAACAAAATTTGCACTAGCTCAACCCTTCTCTCCAACGCAGTGACTGGAACCAACAACAACAAAAACCGGAGATAATCACCAAGAGACAGAACTGTAAAAAAAAGTTAAAATGAAATGAATATGGAAAAATAATACCCTACATCTGTCAGCATGAGGCGATGCACTGTAGTGTACATCAACTAAAATGGGATAAATAGAGCATATCTATAACGATACCCCAAAATGACTCTACATAAAAAAAATACAACTAAAAACCTTCTGAGCCTTAGCTCAGAAAGAAAGAAAAAACAAAATACGCATCGCCTAGGGTAGTCGACGGAAGGTCAACGCCCTGTCAAGCAAATGGCGACGGAACCCTAACCAGGTATGTCAATCAAATCAATTTAATACAATGAATAAATATAAGTTTTACTTACCAAAGTAAAACATATTAAATAGGTATTACGATAAAGTAATACTATACACGTAATACCACATACGTAATACTATTCACGTAGTACCACATACGTAACATCACCCATATAACACCACACACGCAATACCATATGCGTAGCACCATATACGTAACATCACATACATAATAATATATACGTAACATCACATACATAATACTATATACGTAGTATGTGGATAAGGTGTACGGAAAGAATTTCCGACACTCTCGATGTTCTGAGACTTATCACGTACTACGGTGGCATTTGACGGACTCTTACCGTCACGAGGAACCCGTACATGGTTATTCTTTACTGTTGAGCATGCAACTAACCAGTAGCACACTCAACTCGCCCACCATGTAGAGCGGATACAGGCCACAAGGCCACAAACCACGACCATAGGCTAGGTAATAGCCATAGATCGAAACAAAAAAAATACATCTAAAAATGACCATCAAACAAACTCAAAGACTTACAGAAAACTGTAAAGTCAAAAATCACAAAAATGTCAAACACGACACTGCTCAAAGCCAGACTCAAAAAAAACACAATTGCTAAACCCAAGTAAACTGTAGGGTTAAATGAAACTAACAAGCTAAACTAAACTATACATAAGGGAACAAAATGATGAAATTGTCTCTATGACAACTCATCAGGCAAAACAAAACCAACAAATATCTCACTGACAGTTATTCTAAACCAAAAAAAGTGGTGTAATTGCTCGCGAAACAATAGACCTGGACAAAAAAAAACACAAAAACTAATAAAACAGAGCAATCATCATCTCGCTATGCACGCCGCTAAAAAACTCAATGCATCTGCACATTCCATACAGACACTGCCAAAATTCACTCAAAAAAAAAACTAAACTTGATATAGATGTCACCAGGGCAAATATATCTCACAATAAAGAACAGATCTAAACCTGACACAAGTGTCATCAAAAAATATCTCTCCAAATAAAGAGAGAACTAGAACTCTCCAACTGAACTCAACCTACTGACGCGTTTTGACACAGATATAGTTCTTCGGAAACATTGCATTGGCTATCAGATCTAGTAAAAACTATTAAAACCAGGCAACAGAATCCGAGAACAGAAATGTCAAACGTCAATCCTCCCTAAACTTGAGTCACAAGCGCTAAATCGCTCAAATAACTCAAAAACAATCATCATATCAAATGATGACAACACGTTAATGATCTTGGACGTCTCCAAAAAAAATCATTAACAACCAAAATGTTCACAGTAGCATCCTGCTAACTGTAAACCATAAATACGACAAATGATCCCGCATGTGTCGTCTGCAAGACTGCAAAAAATTTAATGTCCTTCTGACATTAAATAACTACACGGTAAATGTCTGTATGAAAAGTTATTCGGCAACAATCATAACAGAACAAGTACCAAACATTCCTTTGACACGTACAGCTGCCAAAAGAAAACAAAACGATACCTCACGTATCAAATATGACAAGTCACCCTCGTCATAAACTCAAAAAACTCAAGGATACACTTCCTGTATCAACATAACAGTCCTAGTATAACTGTCATCCAAAAAATTCAAAATGTACCTAAAGTACCAAACAGGACAGTCTA